GCTATTCACTCACCTCAGACTAGGTTGCACAGTAAAGGCTTTCGTCAATCAAGCGCCCGATGAAATGGTGATAAACACAGGGCCATAGCACAAAGTTCGCGTCAAGACCCGGGATAAGCGAGTATTGATTTCAGATATAGTTGGGAAGCCGGTTTGGCAACGACTACCACACTGGAAATCACGGTATACAGTGCACTCAGAGTAAATTCAATTTTTGATCGGGTAAAACCTCAACGGTCCTTAAAGCAGGCACGTCAATATTGAAGACTAGCCTGGTATTTGATGTAAAACATTCTTGAACACTAACTGGGCATGAATAAGGCTGTGTTGTTGAACCTGGTCCTGCTTAGAATATGTTCGACTAACTACGTGAGACTGGGTATTTACACGACGATTAAGCAGCTGATTAACAAGGCAATTTTTCACTCAATCATCCTAGCTGATGTACCTGCATTATTAGAAGACCAAAACCTCCGGTTGTTTTCCTCTTTCTCTTTTAATCACCGCCCAACCAATCCAGCCTAACACAACTATCGTCCAATCATCCGAGTTTATCACAGATGATTCTTTCACGAAGGATCAGTTAATTACCCTGGCAGCAGTTCGATGCCGTCAATCACTCCTCATCTGCTCATTAACATGAAAGATACCGTAACTTCATCTCCATAGTCGTTTTACCTCTCAGGAACTAATCTGTACGACACTGTGCTGCTATATCCTTCATTCTACTACGTAACATTGATGACAACTTTTTTCCGGTGAACTTGTAATCTCGGTCCACAAATCAGCATATAATCATTTGTCCCGGTAGTGAAGAAGCTACAATTTATCTGGAGGGGCGTTATACCAAACCGAAGAAGTGATTCGTCGACATACCAGCATGAACAGAACAAGAACGATCGATTGATGGGTTAAAGCAAAATCGTAGAAAAGAACTGAAGGTCTTCCTGGGGAAAGCTTTGGCACTCGGTCGTAAAATATGGACGAACAAGAAATTCAAGCACATGCAGCCTCCACTCCGCCTCACCCGCTGCATTGCGGCCAGGGTCTTATCAGAAGCTAAGACTTTGCGTGAGAACCCTACACATTCCGTTGATTGTTGTTTCGACTACCTTGCAGAAACCTCCCGCATAAAGCTCCAATGGACATAAACTAACATAAACCAATTGCATACTGAGTCGGTCGGCACACGGGATAACCAGGACTACTCTGCCCAGTGTATCGAACGAGATGGAAAGTGAAAAATGGACCATTGTTCGAACTTTGTTTCACTCTTTGTCTATACCAAATTCTCTACCTTTGCCTCATCATCCGGCCAGTAACATCCAATCGGACAACTAGTTCACCACTCCTCCAAAGCACGTTGCCAAAATGCACCAAGCGGTTTACGGCTAAGTAAATTAGTTTCTCACCATCGTCATTAACGTATGGCGAAACTCGCTCATCTCTGCCAACCTCACAATACACAGAAAGTGAAAATATAAAAAAAGGATAGGGTTTAAACCTATTTGGGGGGAAGCAAAGAGAGTTAACCTCAACGGTCAATACAGAATGCACAGCTGAACTGTGCGCACATGCATATAAGTATTTGGACCTGATAAAAGACGACAAGAGCGTCAGAGCTGTCGGCTAGTTGCAGTCCCTTCGAACTCGACGTGGAAGATGGGAGACCGACTCAACCTAATCGCTCCGTGCACTTCTCCATGGCTCGTTTCCACGTGGTTCGTTGACCACCGCATGATTCCTTCCAACACGGAGCTGCAACTGTAAACAAGGCGCGGCGCGGTAGACTATGACTGGAGACGCGCATGTTCGAACCGGCGGAGCCTACTGATGTTACAACGAATTCTCCGCCGGCTAATAACTAATTGTGTGACGGCTGACATCAGTTGCTTTACACGCTCGCCCTATCCGGCCCGAGCCAAACTATGTAAACATCGAGTCGACGGCTTCAGGACGAAGAATATTGTCCACTCAAAACCGAGGGTCTCTGGCCAGTATAAACGACGTTTCAGATTCAAAGAAACATGACGTCTGCTCCCAAGTTGTTAGTTTAGAGTATGCCGTTCGAGTTTAGGAAATGCAGGTGACTATCTTCCTGACTACGCTATTCGTCATTATCGCCAAGTGGTTTTAAGCTTGTTGGACTACCTATACATTGTCTAACAACAAGGCGATGTCGTCGGCAAGTTGTAAGTTAGGAACTCTGTCCCCTGGGAGAAGTTCAACTCCACCGTTTGCTAAACCGAATAAAGCATTCTGCAGAACATCCCCTATGAAGAAGTTGAAACGGAATGCTAGCCGTGCTGTCTAACCCGACCTGAAGCATGACGATAAAACTCCGAGGATCGATTCATACTCCTCAGGTACTCTATTTCTTAAAGAACAGTCCCATAGTGCGGTGTTATCGAGAGTCGAAGGCCACCCGAGCGTCTAATAACAATAAACGATGGACGCCAACAATGAAGCGCCTCCAGATTACCAACATCCAATGAATCTACGAATAACACTTTTCTTTTGAATTGGTTCAGTTTGTCAGTTCGTCACAAATGTATCCCACAGCACACTCATATTCAACTTCTAAATGGAAAAGAGGAAACGGTATCACTGAGACAGCCTGCCTCAAAAGCATCTTCATCAGACAAAATTGGTGAGAGTATTCGAGAACAGTATGTGCATCCAAAAGAAGAACTACCTTCCAGTTTCGATTCAGAGGTTCAATTGGAAAACAAGCTGCAGAAACATAAATCCGTCCTGGAGGAACGGATCCCATAAAACAGCTCATGCCAGCCCAGCAGTTCGCAATTATATA